AGGTGGTGGACAGAGCCTGCTCCTGCTTATCGAGGAACATCTTGGGTATCTTCCGCCCTGGTACTCGTATCCACGTCTTCTGTCTGGGCTGCGTAAACTTTACTGATATGTGACTCGGCTAAAGTGTCTTTTTTTGGCCCCCCTGTATAAGGATGGGTCGGCCCTGCAAGTCATTGTAAAGGCCGAATTCGATTGAAATATGATTCCGAAAACAGAACTGGAATCGTATTTCAGAAAGGGGTTGATGAACGATGAATGTTTCTCTATGAAGGCATAGGAATTCCACGATTCCGGATGAAAGCTAAATGCATGGCGCATCTAGCGAAAAAACGAACATACCCTGACAATTTGTATAGCTATCCTTAGTGTTGATGGTAAGCTGATTTTTCGATTAGGTAAGCGACGTCTGATCTCGGATAACTCTTTTCCTAGTAAACTCATCACTACATATGTATAAGAATCGGTTTTTCCCGAAGCTAAACATCGGCAAACATGACGGGAACTGAAAAATTTCATTTCAAAGGAACAGTCCGAAGGACTCTTACGCAGATAAGATTCGTATTAGTTCGAAAGTCAAGTTAGTTGTTCTTTGTCTCAAGCGATTCTTGTACAACCTTGAGGGAGCAGTTCACGCTAATCATAAGGGAAAAGACGGGGGACCACTCTGCTCCTTGTGCGCCTCTAAGTCTGACGCGTAATAGAAGAGGGGCGTCACTGTGAGGCAGTCACGGTGGTCGTCTGTCTCCGCAGAGACGGTCTGCGTGGACTGCGCCCTTGGAGTGGTACGATCGATGCGAGGATCGATATCTGGGTAAAAAGGCACCTTCCACAGATTGCACCATCTCCCCCTTTCCCCCCTCCCCCACCTCCTAAATACTCGGAATCAATGGTATTCACTGTGATGAACCGAAAAATGTTGTCACATAGCCAATATAGGCCAATCCAGTATGCTATATGCTGAAAACAGTAACAGCTATGGGCCTTATTCCCCTGAACCTGAGGGAACCACAGGCACGGCGGCATTGGTGGGACCGCCCGGAAGAGGATGTCACATTGAAGACTTGATGATGCAAGCCGGGAGGATCAAGTAAGACGTCATGACTGACCGAGACGAGGAGGCATCGCCCGCTACACGCCGTATACGAGACTGGAGAAGAACTGTTCCTCGGAACATGCGACAGCAGAGGCGTTGGCGGTGTGGGCGTCCTCGTCAACACACACTTGGCCATGAAGATCAATTTTGCGAAGATGCGCACACCCACAGCGATTTCGCCAACTGTAAGACCAAGATGATCGGTCTTCAACATACGACGGAACAACTACTACGTCTCGAAGGGCAATGGAAAAGGTCATCCAGGTCTTCTACTCCCTCCTTCTTCTTCAGTTCTCCCTTCTTCAAGTTCTCCCTTCCGAAGTCCGACACGCCATCTCGTCGGTGAAGAATCGTACGGCACCCGGTCCCGACAGGATCAGACCCGAACATCTGAAGAATCTTCCGCCAGTTCTCGTCAAAACTCTGGCTCGACTCTTCACTCGCACTACATCTAAGGTATTGCAAGGATCCCCCTCGTGAAAAACCAGTAGGACTGTGTTGCTGTACAAGAAGGGAGACCTGTACGACATTGGCAATTATCGCCCAATCTGCCCGCTGTCTGTAGTCTACAGATTTTTCACACGAGTTATCCAGAACGGGGTTGGCAGACACTAGGCGAAATGGACGCCTATGGGGCAAGCAAGCAGGGTTCCGAAGAGGATTCGGTACGATCGATAAATCCACACGGTAACGAAGTTCATCGACTTGAAAATGTCTTCGACTCCGTTGAGACAGAAGCGGTCATCGAAAACCCTCGGCAATAGGCGTGTTCCCAACCACGTACATCAGGTCTCGTCGTCTGCCTCTGCTATGGAAAGATTACGAGCAAAGGTTTACGTTGGTCTACCAGGAAGATATGCGGACGCTGAAGAAGGGTTCCGACAGGGCCACAGGTAGGCCAGGTGCGCCATGCCTTTCAAAGCCTACCGTTGGACAAGAGCGAATCCCGATTGGATTCCACGGATTCCCACGCTGCACCTCACCCACCGATGAGAGCGGTAGGTCGCCAACGAACACTTGAACGATCGCTACGCGATGAGAAGGTGGAGTGGTCGTGTCGAGGTGTTCAAAGATGCTCCTGAATTCGAATAATGTGATGTTCATCAAACGCCTCGAGCACAGAGAAATCCCTTTGGGGTGCTGCTCATAATAAGGTTCGCATGGGTCGAAGGAACCCACGGGGCTAGAAGAAACTGCAGGGCTAGCCTCCTTACTGGAATGAATAGCTCGAAGTATGCCCTGATGTTGTTTAATGAACAGCCAATCAAAACTCCTCCTTACTTTTGAATTTTCTTCAGCACGAAAATTTCCATTTTAAGAATTTCATCGTCTTTACTCTTCATTAACGGTTCCACTTTCATAGCAGCTCTTCCTTTAGGCTAAAAAGACCACCTGTCCTAGTAACCTGCTGTATACAATCCACATCGCATGCAAAGGGGGGCGTTCCGGCGATAGCTGCGTTGAGTGCCGATTCCGATTTTTTCAAATACATTCCAGTTCCTTGAGATGGACAGGCCGTGACTGCTCACTTCAATTGAACGTGGCGGCGGTTTGCTAAGATTATCGTTCAAGGATAACAGTAGTCATGGCTTCGCCTAGCCCAAAACGGGATAATAGCTGTCCACAAGGGAAATATCTCACGAAAAACGTACCGTACTCCATGTTCAGATGAAGTGCCCTTCCCTTCTCCGAGTTATGGAGAGTACGTCTCCATCTCTTTACCCTCCGTACCCTCGCAGCCATAGTTGCGTACTTGGGAGCGCCCCTTCCGCCCCCAACTACGAAGTGCATGTTGCCCAGAAAAGTTCATTTTTATTCATGATAGAATCTATTAGGGTGTGAGGGAAGTTTTGGCAGAAACTCGTTGCCTCACTTCAAAAGGCCCAGCGCGAGAAGGTGATGAACTAGTTCGTAAATTGAAATACGAGAAAGTTATGATTATCTGCAAATCGGATCGGTAGCTGATCGATATTACAACTCGTTATCAACCGTAGTTGTCATCAAACGAAAAAATGTGCGCCAGACACGACACTCGACGTCTTCCACTTCATCTTTAACAGTCTGGCCGCTCCGCCGCCTGAGCCAGAAATGAGTGGCTGGGTAGCAATGCACCCTCTCTTGCAACCTGCTACAGGTGGTACGATCGCTTCGCAGTGGGAGAGTTTAGCCTCGATGAAGCACCTCGATGCGGACGCCCTCCCTCTTAGCAATGAAAAAAAAACGAGCTAAAGGCAGGACAACCGTACCACCGCGGAGGCGATAGAAATGAACGGCGTAGCACAGGGCCGCGGGCCGAGCATCGTCCTTGTCACGAGCACAGAAGGTCCTTTCACGCTCACTTGAGTCAAGCTAGTAGTACACTCTG